CTTCGAAACTGACATTTTAACGTCACTGGTGTTTTGGAATTTAATTTTTCCCCATATAGTCTACTCTGGCTTACGCAGGTAATGTGACCTGCATATGATATCCCCTTCATTCCACCACTCATGCATACATGCTGGTCACACAGCCTGCCCTGCACTCCCTGTTCCCCAGACACACCCTGTAGAGATCTGCACTCTACTCAGTACACTTTTCCAACTGTCATATGGTTTTCAAGACTGTTGGTTGTCACGTTCAGTGATTCTGCAGTTTTTGTGGCCAGTACACATGTGGCAAAAGCAGATTGCCAGACTGCTTTTACAGTTGACATATATTTCAAAATGGTTTTCTGATCAAGTGTCTGTGATTGTGAAGGAGATACATCTCAGATTAAATGTTTCTCAGCAGGGTATTTACATTATCTAGTCTGCCTCCTCTGTATTGTTTACATCTGATTCTGTTCTTTGAGAAAACAATCTCCATCTGGTGCTCTTCATGAGGTTTTATATTTCACCACTTTGTGGTCAATCCAGTCTTTCCTTAATCTGCTTTATCTTCTTTTACTTTAGTCACGGAGTACTGTTTCACGTGTACTGTTTCGCATTACTGTGTGATTCTGTAAGACTGATAAATTCAAGGTGCATTCTCTACTTATTAGAGGTTCACAGCTCATTACCCTAACTAAAGGTTAACAGCCCCTTAGAGAAGAAGAAACAGGTCAGGCAACTCTGTCTTTATATTTACTCTGCCTTTGTTGTTTCTCTGTTTACAAGGTTTCAACTAGTTTCATTGGATTTTAAACAGCTACATAGCTTGCAGAGATTCCTCTTAAAATCTTCATACGGATAAATACTTGCGTATCTCTATAACTGATCAGTTCGTCAGCCAGATAGATAAATCTCTCCCCTCTGCCACAAGTAAAGCAAGTAGTAACAAGTCTAAGCACAAGGCACGTTTCTGGGAGTTTCCTTGTCACACATAGCAACCATTATGGTGTCACACTGGATTGGCCGGCTCACACCCGCAGCTTTTGTGTCTACCTATCACACAATAGCTACGCTGCTTTTTCCCACCGTGGGTATGATAAAGAAGACAAAGATGAATTGTCCTCTCCTTGGTGCACTCAGAGTTAAGAACATAAAGACGTTGAACCTCCCTACACAGATGAATGAACATTTTTTTCCCAGCTTCAGCTACACACCTATGATTAATGGTAAAAATGGAGTAAACTTTAAATACATGGACAGATTTTATTAACACCATGAATCCATATAACTGTGTATTTGATATAATAGTATTTGTACTATGTACTATGACTGAGCTACGTTCATAATAATGTTGATATATTTTTACAGTTTTACAGTACACAACGTTCCTCTTCACAGAATGTATCTATGAATATTTATGATTATTCAGTTATTCTGCTATTATTCTTATTCTGAGCCAGTGAACAAAACAGATAACTGGACACACCCATTTGGTGTCATTTGGATTTGTTGGATGTAGTTTAATTATTTATATCATGTCTGTTACAGTTTTAGGAAACAGCCCAACAGCTGAAATGTGAGTTTCTGCTGGAATCCTCCCACATATACATAACAAAATAAGTTATGAAATACCTAAAGATTAATGTGAGCTTTTCCTTTTCCATGCATAATAATAAACATGGCTTAAATAAGCATAGCTTCTGAAAATCCTTGTTTTCCTGTTACAAATTTAGCAGGAAGTCCAAAACATTTTACATCTCTTCAAGAATTCAGGAAATGTCTTTGTCTTTTAATTGGTGGCATAGACAACAGTAAACTGCTGGCTGGCTGTAATGAGCATGCTGGGGCTTTAATGTTCCATTAGAGCACAACATATTGGCAAAGGTATACATTGCTCAACAACCCTTGTGCTGTGCAGCATACCTAAATCCTTAAAAAACGCAGAGCTATGCCTAGACATGAGAAACAGGCTTGGACAGGTAGACAATTTTTCCCAGAGTGTGTCGAGATTGTTAAGCATTCTGTTGACCTGCACAGTGTGAAGCAAACCAGTAGAAAACAGGGAATAGGGGAGTGGAGGTTTTCTTGTTTTACTTCCTCGAGCAATCGAAAAAACAGATTAGCCCCCAGCCCTTTATTTTCATAGTTTAATATAGATATAGAATATAATTGTTTCCCACGTCTTAATCATCTTAATCAATTACACACCAGGATAAAACTGTTAGGAAACAGAAGAACAGTTAAAAAACCCATCTAGTATTGTGGAGGAGCCTTAATGAACATATATGTACAAACTGTACATAAATCAATATTATATAGTTAAAGTGATCGATTGTATTTAGAGCTCTGAACAATACTGCAGTCTCTCTGATCATGTGTCTAAAATCTCCTGTCTGCTACCATGGAAACAGAGCGCAAGAAAGATGCACTGGGCATTTGTGTTTTAGGCTGAACATGAGGAAGGAGCAGAGACACAGAGGTGAGTTTCACCCTGCTGCTGCAAGCAGCTGTGAGATCCTGGCAGTTCCTCCGGCATGTAAAAATAATAACCTGTAGGAACAAGCCTTGTTTTCACCCCTGTAGCGCTTCCTGTCAAACATGAGCTTGCTGCTATTATTAAGTGGTGTTTATTGAATTTTACTGCATTTTGTGTATTAAACTGGTTTAAAGAAGTAGATACAGATTGATAGTCGGTTAATTTGCATCAGTAAAGCAGAATAATATCAAACACACATTTGCTTTTTCTGTAACATCCTACAAATCACACCATAAATCAATCCACAAGTTATTTCTGCGCCAGCTAAATAACAGTACAATGTGGTTGTTGATATACACTATGAGCCCCGTTTGGAGAGTAGCATTCCCAGTGTGGTTTCAGTCTCAAAGCACATTACGTATGTAGCCATGGGCAGTCTCAGAGGCATCTGTGTTCTTCGTCGTGGGCTGCAGTCAGTCCGAGCCACAGCCGATCCAGAGGGTGCCCGTCACAACACTGGCAGATGGCCTCTTGGTGCCTCAAGCCAAGTTCACCACAATCGGCCCTTAGTGTCATTTCAGTGTCATTTGCATCCCTTTTCATGGGCAGTTATTGGGTCTTGACTGGGAATATCCATACAATTTCAGTTATTTAGTAAAAACTCAGTATGATACAAATATTTATGTTAATCAGCCATGAGGGATCGAGTTTGATCTTGTCTTGACGTGTCGTTGAGCAAGATGTTTAACCTTCAAGAATGCATTTCACATTTGTAAGCTTGTCAGGATGAAGCTGTCTGAGGCTCAATATATAATTTATCAATATGACAAAGTGTGGAGAGTGTAACAGAGAGATAGCAGTGCCTTGTAATGTGTAGTATTGGCTACTGTTTTCCCCAAAGCACACATTGTTATAGGACACTGAGGAGCTGTTGTGTGACCAGATTGCACATAAGGATGGTAGAGGACTTAGAATGGGGAGGGGGGCTGGCATCACTGATGTAAGTGTGTAAGAGTATTAATGTTGTGGCCTTTTGGTGCTTCTTAAAAAGGAAAATTAAAAATAAACATGTCCCTTTTCCCATGCTAAAATTGACTTCAGATTAAATGCAGACTCATGGGAAAGAGGATGAATGTGGGAGCAGAGCCTATTGTTGTTACAGCACAGATGTTATGGTCTATAGATACATTGCAGTTACATAATCTCTTTCTCTTTCTCTCCACATACAGAGAGATAGAGCTGTTGTCCCTGTATCACAGAATGAAGTGGAACAGGTTCTCGTTTTTGCTTCCTCTTGTTATAGTTTTTTCTTGGAAACAGCCTCGTCTCTACTTTTCAGCATTTTGTTTTATATAGCTTCAGAGCAAAAACCTCTTTCGATAACACAGGCTGAACTTCTGTATTTAATAGCTTCAGTTTCACCCAGCAGATAACGCTACTGTCTACTGCTTCTGTCTTGTATGCGTATGAGAACACATAACCTCAGCTCGAGTCAGGGGACACCCAGTTGATAGGCATGGGTAATTCTCACTGCAATCTACCAAAACCTGCCATTAGTGTTATGCTGTTATAGTACAGCATGTATTGTAAAGCATTTTCTAATGTTGCAGCTACTGATTAAAGTCTAACTGGATATTGAAAATGTCTATTAATCCATTTCTGAAACTGAAACCAGGGTACACACACTAAACCCTAATCACACCTGAAGTCCATTTAAAGTGGATGTGACCGGTTTTATCAGACAAGTCTGAAAATTTCACAGTAGAGCTAGTGGTGAGGCCTGGCACAGCTGTACGGAAGGGACATTTCAGTGCACTGGATTGAACAAGACTGCAAAGCTGTAAAATGTGTTCTGCAAGTATGTTGTTAAGCATGGGTTTGCCTCTGGAGTAAAAAAAAAAAAAAAAAAGGAATTCTGCATGTCATGAACTGAACTGTTTTGTGTAAGGGTTTTTTCCCGCTTTTACATAATTTGATGTCAAACAAATCCGGGATTGCCGTCACATCTTAACCCTGAAGTGCTCACAAGATTTAGGAACGCATAGCTTTTGCTGCCGAGAGCATGGTTAAAAGGGAGTAAGCTACTCCAACTTTAGCTGTGAAGATTTTCAGCACTTTCTAGGTCAGTTGGCAACTTTACAGGCACTAAAGACAGATTCAAAGCACTCCCATGCTGTCAGATGCTGAGATTAAAAGTCAAATTCATGAGCAGTTTGTCACTCAAATAAAGTTAAAAACCACAACACATAAGTCAATTTACATTTTTTTTATTTGCATATTTAACAAACTTGTGCATTCCAGATTTTTTTTTTTACAAAAACACTGCTTGCTTTGTTAGCATTCACAAGTGGCCAGAGTAGGGCTACAAATGCAGTGTAGGTCCCTCAGTTGTTTCATGACACGCCTGCTCTTCAATGTCATACTGGATGCAGCCACAGCA